TTTTTCACCCAAAAAAATCAATTTTTTAACCGTTATTTCACTATTTCAGTTGTTATTTTTTACTTATTTTCTCACAAGTATGATCTACTTTTTTCTTTAATGGTCAAAATATCAATTCTCATAATCACTATCGAACAGATCCTAAATTTGTATTTCTTAGGTGGTATGAACACAATAGACAAGTCGATAAAGTTTGGCTTTGACTTTTCTTTCTTTTCATACAGTAAAAAGGAAGTGACAATTAAACCGGGTTTGGCTTGGGTTGAGAGTTTCTTTTGTGCAATTCAAGATCTGGGTCCTCGGGTCTATCCTGAATCTTCACACCGTTGCTATCATTAGCATCGAGAATTGTAATGCTTTTAGGCCCACTGGTTGGGAACCAACAACTGTCCACATTCATGGGCTTACGCTTAGCTTTGTGAAATTTTCTAGTCATCTTAATTCGGGAAAAAATCCTTAATAAGAGTTTAAAATTTTAAAAAATCAGATATTTATTTAATTTGATTTCTGAAATAGTTAAATAAAAATATATTTTATAAATTAAATATAATGTCACAATTTTATATAATTTGATCACAAATTATTGATTTAACTGATTACAAATAATTTCTTGGTCACAATTAAAAAATTATCGGTCAAATTATTTTATCGTTACAAATTTATGAAATTAATAACACATATTATCCATTGATCATAAATCACAATTTTTATAAGTTACAACTTATTTCATGATCACAAAAAATCAAATTAATTGATCACAAATTATTTTTAGGTTACAAATTTTTAGGTCATATTATTTATTGGTCACAATTTATCTATTTTATGGATCACACGTTAATTAATTTATTGATTACAAACAATCAAATCAATTGTCACCAATAGTAACACTTGCAACCATCACCTTACTAGCTATATCGCCGTCGAAACCAAAACCACCATCTCCCAGCAACAAAATTACCATCTCAAACACCACCACCAACACCACTCCACAACCACAATCACAACACCAAAAAAATCCCCAAATCTACCATTGGGTACTACCACCACCGTCTGTATCAACAATAACCATAATTATCGCCATCATCGTCGTGTCAACCACAATACCACCACACACAACCCACCACAACACCTCCCGGAACAAACCAACACTGCCACCTCCGACAAACTACTATTTTGAAATTCAAAACCACCACCACTAATAACAAGATCCACCACCAACGAACCACAACCAACACCAAATCTAACATAACCTCCTCCGTCGCCGCCGCCACAACTCCTACCCACCAATTGAAAACATACCCAAAAAACCCACACCACTGCACACTACAAATCCCGGCCACGATGCGAAGCAAATCTCGATCACGGGTGAACCAGTGACAATCTCATGTATGGTGGCGCAAAGACTCTCATTTGGTTTCTTACAGCAAGCAACACCACCCATAGCCGCTTCTCTCTTGTATCGTCATACAGAGGGCTGAGCGACGCTTGTCTCGTCACTCTGTAGGTAGCACTTGTTGCCATCTTTTGATTGCGCTTATCACCATCGCTCAATTGTTGTGTAGAGAGAGAAGAGAAGATTGGGAAAGGGAAAGGGGTCGACTATGGCTGTATGAAGAGAAAACAGATTGAAAAATATTAAATTTCATTTCATTATATTTCATTTTTTCTCTAATTTTTAACTACACAATCTTTCATAAAATAATATTATACGTAAATAATTTTTTTTTCTTTTTTTTTTTTAAACAATTCATTTTTCAAAACAACACTATTCCTCTCATTTTCATTTTCAATAAATGGGGGCCAAACAGGGGCTAGTATAAGATAAATGGCAGTGGAGTTGATATGCAAAATAATTTTTATATTATTATCATTGATATTTACGATTTTAATCATAACTTATTTTTTAAAGAAAAATTTAGGGTAATTAGCACAAAATGTCCCTACCTTTCGATATTTTTGTGGAAAACGTCCCTACCTTTCTTTTTTTACGGATTACACCATCACCTTTACCTTTTTTTGTGCAAAACGTCTTTCTGTCAACTTTTCGTTAAAATGCTTCATTAAATCAAAAGGTAATTAGCACAAAAGGTCCCTACCTTTCAATATTGTTGTGCTAAGCGTCCATATCTTTCATTTTTGGCATAATTAGCACAAAAGATCCCCACCTTTCAATATTATTGTGCAAAACGTTCCTACCTTTCATTTTTTAAAATTTTCACCTCGACCTTTTACCTTTCATTGCGAAAAAGGTCATTTTCATCTTTTTTTTTTAATAAAATGACGATTTTACCCTCCTATTCAAATAAAACAAAAAGAAAAGATGAATTACTAACTGCAATCATAGTCCTTAAATCTTTAAAAAATTACAAAGAAATCATAAATTCTCAACTACCACCACTTTCATAACCTATCAAGCTGCCAACTATAAATCAACATAATACCACCTTTTGGCCACCATGCCCACCGGACTCCACCACTGTAAATGTGGTGGTTTTGGACAGACTGGTGACCAATACTATGGAGGAGGATATTGAAGATAGTGAGGCGAGGCTGGTGGTGGTGGAGTCCGAAAGGTGGTGCTATATGGATCTATAAGTGGTGGCTTGGTGGGGTTGTGAAAGTGGCGGTAATGGAGAATTTAGGATTTATCTGTAATATTTTGAAAGATTTAAGACTATGATTGCAATTAATTACTTACTTTTTCTTTTCTTTTTGTTTTATTTGAATAGGAGGGTAAAATCGTCATTTTATTAAAAAAATGGATGAAAATGAGCAATGAAAGGTGAAAGGTGGGGGTGAAAATGCTAAAAATGAAAGGTAGGGACGCTTTGCACAATAATATTGAAATGTAGAGACCTTTTGTGCTAATTATGCTAAAAAATGAAAGGTAGAGACGTTTTGCACAATAATATTGAAAGGTAGGGACATTTTGTGCTAATTATCTTTTGATTTAACGGAGAGTTGACAGAAGAACGTTTTGCGCAAAAAAATGTAAAGGTAAGGGTGTAATCCGTCAAAAAACTAAAGTTCTGGACGTTTTCCACAAAAACAACGAAAGGTAGGGACGTTTTGTACTAATTACCCAAAAATTTATAATTCATAAATATGAATTGAGATCTTGAAAACACTTAGTTCATATAATTTTCACTTTTAATATATATATCTCATTTTGATTCATTTCACTAGAATTGAATTATTCTACAAACTCCGTGTTTCTTTGAAAAATCACACCACTGTTCAAGAAAAATTATTGTTATATATCACTATTTATTGATTCTTTTACAATTTGAAGAGAAGATAAAAAGAAAGTGGGTGAATTTTTTTATTTTTTTTAAATTTGTTTACTGAAATTTTGATTCAATCAAATCTGTAAAACTGTGATGTATATGTAGCACAATTGACTATTGATATTTACTTCTGACTACTTTTCCGAGTAATGCTTCATTTAAAATAAAGTTAATATATCTAAAATATCCTCGTGAATAAAAAAGAATTTCTACATAGTTAATTTAGTCCTAAGTATAGAACATAAATTGATATGTTGAATCAATATACCATTCTATTAGCCTTTGTTTGAGCTCTATTTTTTAATAATGCATTTTTCTCCAAACTTATTTTCAACACAGTCTCTTAATAAAATAATATTACCTCGAAATTTAATATATATATATATATATATTTTTTTTTTTCTGTTTTTCAATGATACATTCTCCAAAATTTCACTATTTGAAAATCTATTTTACCACCACTTTCATAACCTATCAAGCTGCCAACTATAAATCAACATAATACCACCTTTTGGCCACCATGCCCACCGGACTCCACCACTGTAAATGTGGTGGTTTTGGACAGACTGGTGACCAATACTATGGAGGAGGATATTGAAGATAGTGAGGCGAGGCTGGTGGGGGTGGAGTCCGATAGGTGGTGCTATATGGATCTATAAGTGGTGGCTTGGTGGGGTTGTGAAAGTGGCGGTAATGGAGAATTTAGGATTTATCTGTAATATTTTGAAAGATTTAAGACTATGATTGCAATTAATTACTTACTTTTTAATCATTTTTTTTTTTTTTTTTTGTTATTTATTAAGTTGAGTGATCAATGGAAAACATTATGAAGTTCGATGAGTACCTCGTGACCACATCCAAAGTTGGGTGAGTGTTGAAATGTAATGCCCTAAAGTTGAATGATCAATAGGAAGCATTCTAAAGTTCACTAAGTAACCCGTGATCACGTTCAAAGTTGGGTGGGTGTTGAAATGCAACGTCATAAAGTTGAGTGACCAATGAGAAGTATTCTGAAATTCAATGAGTAACCCGGTGACCACGCCCAAAGTTGGGCGAGTGTTGAAATATTTAATTCAATAAAGAATGGAATACATCACAAGGCCAATTCAAAAAACCAAAAGAAAGATGCCAGTCAGCCTAAGAACAAGCGCAACAACAGGTTAATGCCATTTTGTTTCTTAAAATGCATCAGACAGATCACAAGGTCATCCCTCTATTATCTGTTCTACAAACAAAAACAAAACAAAACAAAGCAAAACGAGAACATAAATCAAGCAGTCATGAGCTCATAATACTAAAACAGCTAGAGTCGACTAAAACTTGAAATGCCAACATACATAGGCAACCCGCAACCTTCATGGCTATTCATTGCACAAGAGAAATTTCAGCGACAGTGCAACCACCCTATCAAGGTGCGCCACCTCGACGGGTGGCCCATCACACTCCCTCGAGGTGTGTGGTCCACCTGCCGAGGTGTGGTTGGTGCGCCCGCCCCACTGAAGATACCAGATAATTACAGATTAAGGGTTTTTACACCTAAACCAACAACAATGGGAGTAGGCGCCTTACCAAGCTACAATTTTTCCTTTCCTCTCACAAACAAATCTGTGCATTCACTCCCACCTTGCTATCATGCATTTGCACATACAAAACATTTTGACACCACTAAGTTATTCATCAATCTGAATCACAACCAGATAAAAACCATATGAATAAACTAAGCCACAAGATCTTAACCTCATAGACATTATTTTCCATTTTCACAAAAATATGCTATGTTCATCAAAATTCACGAATGGATATTAAAGTCTATAAAATTGCACGACTAACTCAAGTAACACATGCACAGAAAATTTAGCCACATATAACTAGACAACTTGTTTAAAATGACCAACATCTACATCAATCTTCTCCAATTTGATCATGCAAATATGATATTCTCACAACATTGGCAGATCACAGTTCAAACTCATCTTCCAACTTCAACTGCTCAGCTGCAGCCTCCTCCTCTTCATCATCGATCACGAAATATGGATTGTGTGCCTCCGGCTTGAATTTGTACCCTGTGAACACATAAAATGCCAGTGTAGCCAACTCCCCTGCCACCACACTAGTCCAAAGATACTTATAAGAAGTAATTGTCTCCAATGCATAAACCACAACCCTTGTAAAGTAAATGTAGCATATCACAACAATGTAGTAGTGTCTAAACAAAGTCAATTTCATCAAGTTCACTGCAGCTTTTCCATCAGTCCTTGCCGCTTCCCGCAAGTTCTTGATTGACCAAACGATCGGGAAAAGCACTGCACAACAGCAAACAACATCAACAAGCAGGAACACCTGTTTCCATGTCATCCAATCTTGACCATATGGTCCAGTCTCATCAATGACAACTTGAGCTATATTGGCAACCACCTGAAGTGGGATCACAATAATTAAAACCTTCTTTTCTTTATCCTGCAAATACGGCTTAAGGATCGACCATCCAGTCCCAATCAACACAATCAAAGTGAACAAAGTAATCCCCTTCAAGAAGCTAAATATGTAAAATAACACATCCCAGCCATGAGCTGATCCAGTTCGCTTGATATAAGACTTATCCTCCGCCTCACACAGTAAATTGAAGGCTTTCAAGATCACAACGGCAAGCATAAAGAAATGAATTCTAAAGGCAGTCGATCTCTTCCTGTACAAAATATTAATCCAGACAGCAGCGAGCACAAAATATACAATAAAAAACAAGAAATAAACCCGTGGTAAAATTGTCTTTCCAGCGCTAAGATAATCCCGGCGATTAGACTTGCCGTTTTCCAGGTTGTACATGGCGGAGCGAACGTTCATAGAGACCTTGAGTTGAGGAAGGCAATTGGCGAATACAAGTGAGTACTGATCGGCATTGGATTCCGGGTACAAGAAATTGAAGCTTTTTGTGTTGGGGTCTGGGAGACGATCGAAGGTGAAGACCTTGTCGATGGATTCGGATTTCAGAGTGCAGGTGATCTCGCCGTCTTCAATTTGCTGTAGTACGTGGATCCAGGCGTCCTGGGTACAGAGGAAGAATCCGACTTTGGATAGGTCTAGGGTGGAGAGATCGGAATTGGGGCCTGCGAGGGTGAGTTGGGTAACGTTGAGCTCAAGCTGGCCTCGGTGGGTGAAGCCGAACTCGTCGAAGGGGATAATCGGCCGACCATCGGATCGGATCTCGGAGTAACGGATCTCACCGACTGCAGTTGAAGTGATACAGAGAAGAATCGAGAAGAGGAGAGGAAAAGAGGATGACATTATTCGACTAGGGTTTATCAATTCACCGTCGAACCAATTTGATTCAGGGGAAAATACTGAGAATTGAGAGGCTATCAGTTTATTATTATTATGCTTCTTGTTATAGGAAGCTGCCAGGAAACTGCGACTTTTCCAACACATCTACCTTCATTTTTCAAAGGATAAATCTAAGGGTAATCCTCCTTGCACAGGGCCCTGTGCACAGGGTGTGCACAGGGCC